CTGAACATGATGCTATGATACCAATTGTAGGTTTTATTTTTTAATAAACTACTATAACAGATGAGTTCATGATTCATAAGAACAGAAGCGCAAGCGTATCTTTTGGATCCATGGTTTATGTTTTAAATTTTGAGAATGGTTTTTCTACAACAAACCCTGAATAGCTGGAGGTGATTGGATGCAAAAATTTTTGTGTTTTTCTTGTTAGGATTGTAATGGAATCAAAACTTTCTATTTATATATAGAAACAACTTTTAATTCGACCCTTCATCGAATTAGAAATTACTGAACATATCCTCATACTAATACACAATAATCCCAAAATTGATCTTCCAAGGAGTGCTCAAGGTACTCGATGTAGCCAAAACACAGGTTTACCATTTCATGGAGATTGTTATCGCTGGATTGGGTTTCTTCACTGATGCTTACAATCTTTTTTTGTATCTCGTTGCTCACAAAGATCTTAGGTCGCATTTACTACCACAAGGAGCAGAAAAGCCTGGAACACTCCTGCCATAAGTTGTGGCCGCTGTCAATGGTGTGGCTTTGTGTGAGACACTTATGGGTCAACGTTTTTTTGGGTGGCTTGGAGACAACTAGGCCGGAAAAATGTTTACAGAATCACTTTGATTTTGATGGTCCTTTGCTCTATCGCCTCCGATCTCTCCTTTGGAAATAGTTCCAAGGGCGTCATGACAACTCTTTTTTTCTTGGTAAAATGTAAAAATGTCATGACAACTCTTTGCTTTTTCAGGTACTAAACGAATTTTTATTTTATTTTTTATTTTATTTTATATTTCTTTTATATTGGATTCTTTTAAATGATATTTCACATTCATTTTACGTTCAGAATTAGAACCTCTATAAATTAATACTCGATAAATTAATAATCACTATAAATTAATAAATTTTTCTGGTCCCAGTCGGGCCAGTGTAAAAATCCATCAAATTCGATAAGATAATTAGATAATAATTTTTTTGAAACTCCTATGTAAATAAATGGTCCCAATATAAACATAAATTAATAATTTTTGAAAATTTAAGTATATATATGTATAGACTAAAATATAGTTAATCTTTTTTGTTTTTATTTAAGTTTAAAATTTTATTGAAAATCATCTCTTTATTGATTTACATCAATAGCTTTTAATGTTCTTTTTTGTATCTCCATTCAAAATTTATGAAAAATGTTAGATGTGATAATTGATTTTCTTACGCGTAATTGTTTCGAAATATATTATGGTATTATCTTCAGTTTCAGCACCAACAATAAGGATAATAGCCATATTTTTTTTTATAAATTTTGTACTAATGAACATTTATATTATTACATAGATAATTTATTCCAGAATTAATAAATAGAGATAACTATTCTATTGGGATTGCTATAACTAGTTATCATAATTTTAAGTTTATGCATGTTATTTTATAAGCATATGAGTTTAAATTTTTAAATATAACTTCATTTGAAATAAAGTTTTAGGAAAAGATGGGTGAAAAATAAATTTTCTCTAAAAATTAATAATTATTAATTTGTAATGAAATTAGTATCACAATAAATTAATAAAATATCATGGTCCTCACATTATTAATTTATAAAAGTTTACTGTATTTTTTATTTTACGAATCCAATATTTAAGTGAAATTTGAATTTCTTTTTACAATCTTGTAATTAAGTTGAGAAAATAATTGAATGAGTTTTTTTTTTAACTTTTAACTATGGATATTGTATTGAAGTTATTAACAGATATATTAGGGCTAGAACGGAGCCGGATATCCGGACTTATCAAGGTATCCGAATCCAGATCCGGATCCACCGGATAATCAATTTTACTATCCGGATCCGAAAACTCTGGATATTCGGTTTGAACCAAATATTTACGGATATCCGATCGGATATCCGGTTTTGCTGATTTAAAAAAAATCTTCAATTTTTTAAATTATAATGCGATAACATAGATAATTAAAATGTATCATCATAGCAAAAGTTATGAATAGCAAAAATTTAAAAGCATTCAAGTAGCATTCAAATAGCACAAAGTTTAAAAGTTTAGATAGCAAAAGAGAAAATAGTAATAGAGAAGTTAATTTATCTTCTTGTCCATATGCTATCCATTTTCATGTTCTTCTCTCAAATCTGAAATAGAAAATTATCATGCAATATGAATTTCAATCATATGTATGAGTTAAACCAAAAATAATTTTACAGTTAATTTTTAAAAATGAATAAATATTATCAAAAAGAAATAAATATTTAACAAATGGATAACGGATACCCGGTTTTAAAATTTTCTATTATCTGGATCTGTATCCAAAATAACCAAATACTTAATTTTACTATTCAGATCTGAATCCGAACTACACGGATATTTGGTTTTTACGGATCGGATAGGACCGGATACCGGATAATAATTCCAGGCCTAGATATAATAGACTTACGGATATAATAAACTTTATAAGAAAATTCTGAATATATATCAACCTTTTTTAAGATAATTGTGTTGAAAGTTAAAACGGACGAAATATATAGATATATTAATGACACCTGAAGACCATTAGTGACTTTTAACATGCAAAAATAATTTATTTGTGTATATTGTCAATTTTTTCCGCAGCTGTGGCAAAAAGGTTTTGGCTTGGAATTGGTATAGGTGCACACTTTCAGCAACGATCATGTCGGAGTATGGGAACAAAACGATTTGTGGTACGTTCACTGTAGTCCGTGTTCACTGTGCAAGGGTTGGGATCTTGGCTGAAGGTATCGTTGCGTTAATATTCTCGAGCATTTTCGATCACCAATTCTCATCAGAAATCTGTTGTGTATACCATGTTGGCTCAACCGTACCTTAAGCTGATTACTTATGGCGTATCATCCTTATGGTTGAAAATCTTCCCGCGGCTATGACCTATTACTGGCTAATGAAAATGTCAGAAACTGCTCGCTACACCGCTTTAGTTGCCAAAAACATCAAACAAGCCACACAAGACATGGCTAAAGTTTTGCAAGTGGATCTTGAAGCTGAGGAAGAAATTAAAAGATTGTTAGAGACCCTAAGCTTAACTATGTATTGTTTAGAAATAAAATATGGATTGTTTTTCAAGGAGTTCCTTAGACGACATGGACTTTCAGGGGCGGATGTAATAAAGGAAGAATGGGGTCAAGTGCCCCCTACTTTTTTTTTAAAAAAAATTTTTTTTCTTAAAATATTTATGCAAATTCAATCAAAATAATTTTAATTTAGTGGTAAAAAAATAATTTGCCCCCAACTTTTTTTTTCCTGTTTATAAACTTATGTCCCAACTAATTTTTCTTCTAGATCAGCCAGGACTTCCTCTCTTAGGAACCAGCTCAACTTGGTTTTTGCTTGACATCATGTTTTACAGCCAAACCTTATTTCAGAAAGATATTTCTTCCACGATCGGATGGATCCCAAATGCGGCTACGATGAATGCCATCCAAGAGGTTTACAAGATCGGTAGGGCTCAAACCCTCATCACGCTCTGTAGTACCGTCCCATATAATTGGGAAGATTTGCGATCCAACTGATGGGATTCTTCTTCATGACCATATTTATGTTCGCTATAGCTTTTTCCCTAATGAACACTGGATCAAACCGGACAACCACATCGGATTAGTCATTATTTACTCTCTAACTTTCTTCGTTGCAAACTTCGGTCCAGATGCAACTATATTTGTTTTTCCAGCCGAGATCTTCCCAGCTAGGTTGAGATCCACTTGTCATGGAATATCAGCTGCGGCGGGTAAGGCGGGAGCTATCGTGGGAGCATTTGGATTCTTATACCTGACTCAGTAAAAGGATAAGACCAAGATGGACGCAGGATACCCACCGAGTATTGGTGTCAAGAACTTTTTTTTTGGTGTTATTAACTTTGTTGGTATGATCATGACGTTTTTAGTGCCGGCATCTAAAGGCAAGTCTCTTGAGGAGCTTTCGGGCAAGAATGTGAATGATGAGACGGCCTCGTTCGCCGTCGCAACTTCCAGAAGAAACTAAAGGTATAAAAACTTTTGCCTTAACCAAAATTATATATTGTCCTTTCGATCCACTGTAAAATTTTGTTGTTTATACTGTGTTGTGAACAAACCATAGTGTATTAAAGAGCTGGTTAATTTAATATGCTGTTATAATTTCTCTTATCTTATAATATTAAAGGAGAAGTACATTTAGGAAAATGATTTCGGTGTTAGGTGGTATATTACAATGAATGTCATTGTATAAAAATGTATCCCACGAACAAAAAAAAAACTCAAACCAAAGAGGATCCGCGTCCTTTTAAAATGATCCGTTTAAAAGGACGCAGATCCTTTAATTTGACCCATTTTTTATTTTAGGCAATTCATTATTTTTGAAGATGTAATCCCTTTGAAATATTTAGCTTTTAATAATCGGGATAAATGAAATAGATATCGCAATAAATATATTTACATATTAAGAACATTTTATGCATGAGAGAATCTTGAATTTAAAATATAAGAGAAAATATACAAATCTTCAAATCTTTTTTCTCGCATACTTGATTATTAACACAATAATAACAATTTCCAAGAATGACGTATTTAGTTATTTGCCAAAATATTGTATAAATTTAAATTTGAACATATATACTTAGCCGCCAATGTATCTTCCCTCTTAACGGCATTGTATAAAATCCTAAAATTTTATTTTGAGCTATAGCCAAATCTCAATCTAGGAGAATATTCTATTAGTTTGTTATTGAATACTATCCCATTTATTTTGCATCACCGTATCGATACTCAATAACAACTACTTTACAAAAAATTTAGGATTCACTATTTCCAATCAATATTGTGATCAATTTAATTTGAGAAAAATATACTTGGCCGCCAGATTACATACAGCTCAACGGTATTGCGAAAACCCTAGATTGTTTCACTATAAATACGACACTACCGTATTCCATTTCACTCTACATCAACTACAACTTTATTAACTTTTACTTCAATTCAATTCTTTGCAATGGCTTCCAACATGAGGTTAACCCCTTTGGCTGACTTAAAGCCATTCAAGACTGGGTGGAAGGTGCAAGTGAAGGTCTCTCGAAATCATTCTCGCAGATGAAATGGTATGATCAAGTGAATGTGTAATTACATTTTCGTACTACTAACTATTACTGGTTTACATATAAACATTTTTTATTTTCAGGGTACCAAAATCCACGCCACCGTCAAGAAAAACCTGTTGCATCGCTTTGAGCGATTGATGGTTGTCGGTGAATGAAAGTTCATCGAGAACTTTTCATTGAACCAGGCATCCGGTCAATACTGGGCCACAAAGCATCAATTCAAGATGTTCTTCATTTCATCCACTGTTGTCACCAAAAGTGCTAATCGATCTGACAGTCGATTTTTTGAGTTCTTAGATTATGATACAATCTTGAACGATTCCACAAGTACAAGTTTTTTGATCGGTGAGTTTCTATTTATCTATATAGTTAGTTTATTACATTTATATACGTATACATCTGACGTCATTTTTCAAAATACCAGATGTTATTGGACGAGTTGAAAGTGTACGTGAACTTGAAACAATCCCTGTAATGAACAAGGACACAAGCAAGCTTGAGTTCGACTTGTGTAATGCGAAGTGAGTATATACGGTTAATGTTTTTTATTCTTTAAAATATTTACTCTAATCTAATTGAACCGTATTATATGTAGAGAGGAGTGCTTACCATGCACACTTTGGGGTAAATTTGGCGAGCAAGTCTATTCAGCTTTTCAGAATGTTGGCGAACGTGGTGTCATCATTGTAATCCGTTTTGAGAAAATCAATGTGTTTAGAGGTAAAAATATTTAATTACAAAATTTTTATTTCAACATAAAATAAAATGCATTTTGATTATTTGTTTAAATTATCATAGGTGAACGTCAAATTACCAGTTCTTTCCAAACCTCTAAGGTGCTCATAGATCTTCACGATCCAGATGTCATTGATTTCAAAAATAGGTAAACAATTTATTTATATATCAAACACATATTTTGACAATGTGATTATTAATAATAATTGTTTTCCAATATGAAGTTTACCTGCAAATGACGGAAATATTACTTTCTTGAGTAGCAAGCCACATCAGAGGATTTTTTATGATGGTGAGAGTAATTTTGATCAGTTTCCAATGGTGACTATTGCTGAACTGCAAGATTATCTGGAGGTATATAACAAAGTCGTCATAACTTTATTATATGTTGATAAAATGATATGTCTTTGAAAAATGATTTTTTAATATAAATCTAATAACATAAAATACTTAAAGGGTATAAAACCTTATATATGGTATCGACTAAATTAAATGTATAACTCAAACCTTAACTTTTATGTGTTAATTTATCGATAGAGTTTATGCAATTATGGTGACTGTTCTATTTTTAAATATTCAGGTTGGAAAATATAAAATCATGTGTACTGTATATACGCGGTTGATACAGATTAGTCATGGTTTTACTTGGTTTGCACTAAGTGTGGGAAAAAAGTCTACAAAATCCCAAAACGCAAAGACGAGAAATTTTGTGATAAAACTAAGAAGCTTTATTCATGTGAAACATGTGATGCCAAAGTTTCATCTGTCAGTGCGAGGTAACTAAATTTTATAAATTACTAAATAACAATTTGTTTGCCAAAAACATATAATCATGTTTACATTTAACTTATATTGTAGATACAAACTCCATCTTTGTGTAATGGACAACATGAGCAAGATCAAATGTTTTCTTTTTGATTCAAATGCAAAGGATATTGTTAACCAATCTGTTGATGAAATTTTAAAAGGGACATATGATAACACCGGATTTTGACCATTTTTATGGATCACTTTAATATCTTTTACAGGTGTTTTTACTCCATTTTCAAAGGTTTTCAAAGGATTTCTATGTTTCCGGATTTTAAAAGACTTTTCAGGTAATTTGGGATAAAGAGGCACAAAATGGAACAAAAAGACTCTTTTGGATAAATGCAGACCGTCAGAACTCTCATAGAGCGACGAAGACCTTCTCACCGTCTGATCACCCTCAAAATTGGACAACCTATAGAAGAATCAACCAGCTTTCAAATACACTTGGTTTGGAGACATTCGAACGGTTGGATCTCAAGATATTCCATTAGCCCCGAAGCCATGCGGAGTCGGCCAGCAACTCACGCGACCGTGGCCAACAAGCTATTTGCCGCGGTCAGAGGCTTCCCGACCGCGGCCAACAAGCCAATTGCCGCGGTCACAACACTCCCGACCGCGGCCAACAAGCCAATTGCCGCGGTCACAACACTCCCGACCGCGACATTCAAGCTCCGACTTAAAGCCCACTTATCTGAAGCCCAAAGTCATTCCCAGCCTCAATTCCGGAACCCTAGAGACCATGGAGTATTGGAGACTATAAATACATGTCATTTAGGTCGTTTTTAGGAGAACCTTTGATACTTTACAGAAACCCTTTTCCTTTAGCCATTTTTATGAGATTTTTGTAGAAGATTGTTCAAGTCCGAGTTCTTCAATAGAGAAGCTTTCTTTATCTCTTTTCTTTACTGTTTTTTATTACTTTTATTAAAACCAATGATGATGTCGAACTCAGCCATGTCTGAGTAGATCCCGAGTTGGGCTTAGGGTTCCCGAAAGGGGCTCTCATAATCGATTAAGACATCTAGGTTTATAGATCTGGGATTTCGACTTGTTCTCTGTTTATTCTTGTTCTTATTGCATGTATGCTTGATTGATCACCTAGTATCTGATCTAGATAGTTAGTGTTGCGAAAGTTTTCATTAAGTATCAGCCCTAGAATGAAACAGACGATTTTTCCGTAGGAGTGGAAACCTACCTGCGGCGAGATCGTGAGTATTGACGAGTCTTGTGCAGCTCTTGCGTTCTCTCCCTTCCAGGGCCAGAGTGGAAACCTACTGGTCAGGGTTGCGAGAAACAGTTGGTTATGATCACGATGGTGATGTAGTCATACCGCCGTACTCTAGCTCTAGAACCCATATATTGTTATCCGTCAATCCCAATCTATCTACCTTAATGTTAAAACCGATTATGATCCCTTAGAGTTCCCAAAAGCTCAGCGTTTTAGCCATAGTTTACAATTCCATCAATTTTTACTTGCTTTCTTAGACCAGCATTTCAATTTCCTTAGTTCGTTATTTACTTGCTTTATTTACCTTTCATGCGATATTTTACTTGCCTTATTTTTGTTTAGTTCGATATTTTACTTATTCCATTTGCATTTCATTCGATTTTCTTACTTGCTTTTTAGGATAGATTTATTTGCTTTCTTTTGCTTTAGTTTAATTCGAGAAAAACAACCAACCTTTAAAACCAATTTAGTCTAGACATAAAGTTAAAAACCGTAGAAGAATACCAGGCACACAAATCTCTGTGGATTCGATCCCTAAATATTACAACTGCTTAGCTGTGCACTTGCGGCTTTCATTTGTTTTGTTAAGGGTAAAACTTGTTCCCTCACGTAGTTGACACTCAACACCGCATCAAGTTTTTGGCGCCGTTGCCGGGGATTTGTTTCGCTGCCTTTTGCTATTTTTCTTGTTTTAACTTCTGTTCTAGACACCTGATCTCTAGTTCTTTCTTAAAGTTTTTCTGAACTATCTTTCCCTTCTTTTTTCTTTCTCTGAATTGCATGAATACCAGGCGTAGACCTGCAGGAGACATTCCAATTCTAGACGAGATAGACAGACACGAAAGAGAACTTCGAAGACTTAGACGAACGCAAGGAATGGCCAACGACGACCAGCCTGGAGATCCTATTAATCGAAATTTAAATATGGACCAAGACGGGTCCGAACATGGAGAAAACAAAGAGAATGATCACATAGAAGGTGATCATGCTCGACAAGATGGAGAGGAGGATGAGGTTCTTCCAAGAAACCACCAGAACCGAGAGAGAAAAGGACGTGAAGACCTTGATCCACCCATCAATATAGCCGATGGTGACCACCCAGCAATGCAGCCGAATGAACGCGTTCACCGCCCCATTCCGCCAGCAAATCAACACCGAAGACAAGCCAGGAACCATCGCATAGCTGATTTTGATGCACCTACTCAAAATTTTCAGAATCGATCTGCAATTCAAGTACCATTTCCAAACCGGAATGAGTTTGAAGTCAAGCCTCAAATCATCTCATTGGTGAAGCAAAACCAGTTCCATGGAGTTCCTTCTGAGCATCCAATGGACCATATCGAGCTTTTTGAAGAAATTTGCAGCATGATGAGAACAAACCAAGTTCCACCTGACTATTTAAAGTGTAAGTTGTTCCCTTTTTCATTAGCAGATAAAGCTCACCGTTGGTTGAAGTCTTTGCCTGCAGGATCGATTACTAATTGGGAAGAATGTAGAACTGCTTTCCTGAACCACTTCTACACTAAGTCAAGGTCGAACAATTTGAGAACGAAGATCTCAACCTTTCAACAAGGGTCAACTGAATCTTTCTATGAAGCTTGGGAACGTTTTAAGGAGTATGAACGTGATTGCCCTCACCATGGATTTCATGGATCAAGCCTGCTGAGCACATTTTACCGAGGTTTGCAACCAAAATACAAACTTTCACTTGATACAGCTAGCAATGGAGATTTTGGGCAAAAGACGATAACTCAAGGAAGAGCTCTCATCGAAAATTTGGCTCAAGCCAATAGCAATGATTGTCCTGAATATGATCGATCAATGAAGCAAGCCGGAACGGACAACAAGGACATAACCGAGTTGAAGAACATGGTGAGCCAGCTTCTGAAGAGCAACAATCACCCGATCCATGCTTGTGAGACCAACAATGGCGCAGAAGATGAAGGACCTAGTGATATCGATCACATTAATCAAGCATTTCAAGAAGAAGATGTGAACTACGTAGGAGCACTGGTGCCATACCAAAATCGCTCCAACAACAACTTCAACAACAACTTCAACAACAACTTCCGGAATGCAAATTACAACAATCTCTCTTACCGCAATCCAAATGTGGAGAATCCTCAAGACCAGTACTACCCACTCAGCAAAAATCCTTCCAAAACAAGTTTCAAGGTGGAAACTTTGGAGGAATAGTACCATATCAACCGCGACAGCCATATAACTACCAAGGTACGGATTTTAATAATCAATTTGTACAACAGCAGGGAGTCACGACGAACCAGCTAGCTTCACAAATCGGTAGACTTGAACAGTCAATCCAATAGCTCGTTATGACGAACGAAAAAACATCTAAAGACGTAAACGTGAAATTGGACTGCATGTACAATGATCTGAATGGTAAGTTTGAATCTTTATCTTCGCACGTAAAAAAGTTAGATGTGCAAGTTGCCCAAACAGCCGATTCTATGAAGAGGCAAAGTGGAGTCTTCCGGGGAGTGTTGAAGATAACCCTAAGAAGTTTTGCAACGCCATAACCACATTGCCCGAAGAAGAGGTCGGAACCGATGAAAAGAAAGAAGAAACCCCAATCTTTGTACCACTGTACAAGGATATCGATTCCAAGCAGCCACCGTTTAAGGTACCTGAACGATCACCGTTTCAAAGGCTTACAAAAGCCGATGATCCGGGACGTTTTGTTTTCCAGTGTTTCATTTCAGGAATCAAGTTTACAGACTGCCTGTGCGATTCCGGAGCCAATGTCAACATCATGTCTAAGACATTTGCCGAAAAATTGGGCATAAAAACCTTAAGGACATCGACGGTTAAGGTTATCTTTGGAGATTCATCTCAAAAAGATACTGAAGGGGCTATTCATGATCTACAAGTTCTAGTGGGAGATAAGATTTTTCCAGCAGATTTCCAAGTCCTGGAGATGGATAAAGACAAGGAGAGGCCACTCATTTTCGGGAGACCATTCCTAGCTACAGTAGGAGCAATTATCGATCGCAAACCGGCATGCTGTTTTCCTCAATGTGGACAGAAAAAGGTACTATCCTACTATCTTAGATGAATTTCCAAGCAAAGGAAACAGGCCAAAAGAGAAAGAAAAGGAAAAGCCGAAAGCTTTTGCAAAGATCAAGATCATCATTCCACCAGATGCAACAGAAACTAGTGAGGACCAAATCCAGGAGCTGATCGAAAACACAAAAAGGGTTCTGAACAACATTAAAGTCCGAAAAAAGATTAAAGGTAAGAAGACTTCTCTTCAAGGAGAAGAAGTAAAACCTCCACCAACCAGAAGTGACAAAGGCAC